GGCCGACCGCGCGGCGTGTGAGTAGTGGGTACGGTGGGCAGCGGCCTGCGCCCCCATCCCCGGGAGGAGGGACGCGAGGGGAGCAGCAGCCGGCTGCGCGGCGGGGCTCGGGGCGCGCCGAGGGCTCCCGGAGTGGGTCCCCAGCACGGCTGCAAGCGCTTTTGCTGGGGGGCCGGGCCGCCCGCTGGCTGTGGGTGCTACGTTTTTGCCCGGGGCCCAGGGGATCGACTAGGGGCTTTCTTGGGCTCTGGGAGTCCGAGGACCCGCAACAAACCCACGTGCGCCTGCCCCTTGGCACCCGGCAATCCTGGGGGGCGGCGGGGGTGGGAAGGCGCAGGAGGCTGGGGGAGGTCAGGCCTTGCAGAGCTCGGGGTACCCCCTCCGATCACACCGTTAGAGTTTACTGGGGCTTGAGGCAGCGGGGTGGCGTGGGGGTGGTGGGGTGGGGGTGCAGACCATAACAAATGCACGTGTGCCTGGCCCTGGAATCTGGGCGCCCCGCCGCCCCGCCCTTAGGAGGCATCCTGCGGTGTGCAGCCATTGTCTCCGCTTCCGGACAGGGAGAGGTGCCTGAGGCGCCACTTGCTGGGGAAGGGCGAACTGTTGCAAAGGTACCTTTTGGGCTTCTGGCCCAAACTAGCGGACGCCAAATGGGGAAAACAAAACAAAACAAAACAAAACAGAACAAACCCGCTTGCAACAAGGCTACTCTAGACCTGGACCAAGACCCTCTCTGGGGGTGAAGCTGAGTACCCCTCTTCTCTACCTCACGGAGATTTCTTACAGACGCCCCCACCTCTGCCCAAGAACTGGGTCCTGTGCTCCATTGGCTTGCATCCCCTGCAACTACCCCTGTTGGGAGACCAGGGGCGCCTACCCAGCCTGGGGAGGGACAGTCCAATTTGCAGGTCACTGGTAGGATCTTGGTGTGCCAAGTCTCTCCAAGTGTCATTGCCTCCTCCCCCACACCCCACACCCCCCATTTCCTTGTTAATGCGTTTTCCCAAGCAACGCCTCTTGTTCTGGGTGGCTGTCACACTATTTCCTCTTTGACCCGGGTTTATTGGAATGAAACTAGGAGGTCCAGAAAGAAGAACGTCTTGATTTTGCCCCTTCCTTGCTCATGGGTGCTCAGCTCCGAGCTTATTGGCTTTGAAGTCGATTTGGGATGAATTGGCGTCTTAAGGATGGCGTTGGTGCACCAGCTAGCCCAGGGGGTGGTGTGCGTGCGTGCGTGGTGTGTGTCGGAATGGAATGGAGGCACTTCCCCTGAGTGTGAAGCTGTTGGGCAGTTGAGCTGCTTCCCCCGAAGGCTGATGTGGCTGGAGATAAATTTGTTTCTGGGGAGAACTGGAGCGCCTCCAACCCTGTATACAAGTATAGAGAAGGGATTGCTCTTACTTAACAGGTCCAAAACCGGCTTGAGGAATTCAGCGACATACCCAAGTTTAAACTGGGTAAGAGGCAGCCTGGAGGACTTGAGACTGGGTCCCCCAGCTCCCTGTCTGCAGGAAAGGCAAAACGGGCATCCTGTGGTTGGTTTAAAACACAGTGGCCTTAGGCAGAATAGAATTAAACAAAGAAAGTAATTCAAAGTGAGAGCAGCACCCTTCTGTATTCCCTTTTTTGAGTTCTTTATTCAGTTGAGAAAAGACAGATTTAGCAATTCCTTACTCTCTATACTTTCATAAGTCTAGTTATTTTTTTCCCTCTCTTGAACTGGCCTGTCCCCTCAAATTGGAGTAAGGCCAACTAGAGAGACTTAGATGTTTTGCCTCTCATTCTTGTGCCAGGAGGCCTTTGTTTGGGCATAAGTATGGGCTGTTGACATCAGTCCTGCTGGGAAGAAAGTGACTCTTAGCGGGCTCCTCCTGAACCACTCCGGGGAGAACAAAGCAATGTTTTCATTGATTTAATTCAATTTATTATTTTTTTTATGAGTCCCATGGAAGTAGCTGCTTATTTTTGCTTTTCGCAAAGAATAAGTTGGGAAAGCAAAAAACAAAATGAAACAAAACAAACCCCCAAACATTGCAAGACCAAGTTACTCAATTACTCCCAAGCTAACTTGGTTTGCCCTGCCCCCGTCAACTGCTAGCTGCTCTTGGTCCTGTCTTGAGGTTTTCCCAAGTGTTTTGTTTTCGTGTGATTGCTCTTGGAGGTTGAGTGGAGCATTCTCAGCTGGTTGCCAACCCTGGAAGGAACTTCAGAAATCATCTGGCCAGACTGGTTTATGTTCACCATGGGAAAGCCAGTCCAGAGAGGAGAAATGCCATGCCCCAGGCTACATAGCAAGGTGCCCGTTTTCATGTGTAAAAGGAACACCATGGCATCAAATGAGTTGTTTGTTGGTACCCCAGAGTAGAGTTGACGTTAGGATGGTTGTCATAACAATGCCGTGTAAGTCATAGAGTGAATCCCTTAAGGAATTTTGGGTTTGATTATTAAACACAGCCATAGATCCCAATGGTAGAAATACTGAGATATACCTGAAGCATCAGTTACTCTTGATTGTTTATTAAATGATTCGCTTTATCCTGGCTCAGAGCTAGATACTCCCCTCTCTCCTGCTTCCCCAATTAGGGAGCTGCTTGCAGTGTGACCATAAACCTGCAGGTAGTGAGACTGGTAGTAAAGAGAGGCCAGAATAACCCAGTTTTGTGTCCGTGAGAGGTGTAGGTGGTTTGTGCTTGACTACTTACTCTGAAGACTTGTGGTTAAACCCACCCAATTGTGCCTTGAGAGAAAGACCTGTAGGGACCGCAGCCAAGAAGGCCTTGCCGAGTCCTTCGGCTCTGCACCCAGGGGGCTGCCATGAGTCAGAATCCGCTTCTCCATTCTTAAAATGACCCCTGTGCTCAAATCGGAGACATTGCTTAGTCACAAAGAGGCCTGGAAGCCAGGCAAACTGTCAGTGGAACATTTGGATAGCGATGAAGTGTGTGTGGTTCCAAGGTAAATAGACCTAGCGAAAAACAAAATACAAAACTAACCCTTTAATATGCAAGTGAGTGCATTCTAACGCCATTCCTCTGATTTATCTCCTATTCACTGATGTGTAGACTGTGGTGTGCTGGGACAAAAAACAAGAGAGTCCTTCTGTGTCCCGAGTGGCTTACAACTTTGTGCGAAGCTCCCCTTCACCCCCTCTGGATGCATTTGGAGCTCTAGAAGTCCAGAGAAAACAGAGCTGATTTATCTCAATGTTGACCTCTCAGGTTCCTTTTTCCTCCCAGGGAAGCCAAGAACAGATAGCACGAGAGAAGATTGAAAAAGAGACGGGGGCTCGCTACACATTCAAGGATGTGACTGCATTAAAAAATGCCAGGAATAATCCGTGAATGATATTCCCAGGGGTTGTCTGGAGTAGTCGAGGCCTGGGCATTTGGATGGGCGATTCATGGCCCAGATTGGTATCTGTGACGTGCTCACCAAGAACTGAGTTGGAGACAATGGATGGTTTCACTTTGGTCTGCATGTAAACTTAGTCCGATCGATGTACTTTTTTAATAGGCTTATTGTAACTGTCACAAAGTCTAGTAGCATAGTGGCTAACTGCTAAACTAAAGGTTAGTGATTTGAACGCACCAACTATTCTATGGGAGGAAGGTATATCCGAGGGTTTCTAGAAAGATGTGTAGCCTTGTGCACTCAGCAAAAACAAGAACATTGCAACCAAATACATAACAAGCAAGTCAGCAAACAAACCAAACAGCTCCAGGCCTATTCCCAAACCCCAGCCAAACTTACTGCTAGTCAATTCTGACTCATCGTTGGCCCCACTGGACGAAGTAGAGTTACTCCTTAGGATTTCAGAGATGATAAATCATTATGGGAGCAGATCGCTTATCTTCTCCTGAGGAGCGACTGGTGGGTTTGAACACCTCGTTAACAGGCCAATGCTTAATCTGTGGTGCCACCGAGGCTCTCAAACTTTGTGACAGTAGCATATTAAACAATGAATTTCACCACATTAAAATCTTAGGGTAATTTCATAAGTCATTACTGCCAGAGTCAGGCTAGCCTTCAAAATCCATTTCTCTGAGATTGTGTCCTAAAACTGGGAGTGACTCCATGACACTTTAAAGGGGATGGTCAAGACTCTTCATAAACTTAATCCCAATGATAAAAAGCTCAAAGCAGCTAAGGATTACCTACGTGGAAGCAGTAGAAATTACTGCATAGGCCGTTCAGGATTTGCTCACCAGTGGCCCCCTATAAAGGACTGTCAAAAGAGCAAACAGATCTCCCTTGGAAGAAGTACAGCCAGAATGCTCTTTAGGATCGAGGATTGGGAGACTTTGTCTCGCATCCTTTGGACATGTGCTTAGGAGAGATCAGTCCCTGGAGAATGACATGCTCAGCGGGGTAGAAGGGCCTCGGGA